GTGTGTGTGTGTATATATATATATATTATTTTTTTTTTCTTTTTTTAAATTTGATGGAGGGGCAGAGGAAGAAGTGTCTTAACAACCAACCACCCCAATCCAGTACTGCTTCCTGAGCAGCACCACTGGTCTGCATGCAAAATGCTGACATGCAAATGTTTTACTAATGCAAAGGCAACACTTTAGAAAACAAAAAGCCCAAAGGAAAACCACAGCACGCCTTGGCTTTTATTTCTCTATTTTTGTGTGTGCAGAACTGGACGGCCTCTAGCCTTGCATTTCATTGCAGCTCTCGGTGGCCGAGGGCAGCTATTCCCCGGGAGAAAGCCCGGGGAGACAGGGAGTGATGCTGACGGAGCAAAGCCCCTCTTTGCTACGACGGGAGGGACGGCTTGGAGCCGAGCGACGTAGCCGGGGGGTGCGCGAACCCCAGCTGAATGAACGTCCCTCCGTCCCTGGTCCCCTGGGACGCTTGGGTGACGGGGACGTTGGGAAAGGTTTGCAAGCCTGGGAGGCTTTGCAAGCCCGTGCTTGGTGCAGAACAAATGCCAGTCCGGCCGGGAGGCGGGCGCCTCGTCTCTGCCCTGTGCCTGTATCATAGCGGGGGGGGGGAAAAAAATCGCTGTAAATAGGAAAAGGGCACTGTATCGCTTCGCGGGTCTGTGTGGATTGAAAGTGATCGTTTACTGTCCGAGATGAACACAATGTGAAAAGAAAATTGGGACCTGGAAAACTTGGGTGGAAGGTTTATTTTTCCGGTGATGCTTTTGTTTGTTACATAACCCCTCTCCTGCCCGAAACTCCCCTACAGCTATTAATCTATCTCATATTTTGTAATAAAATTTTATCACGTGGAGACGTGGTCTTTCTTCTGTTCCCTCCCCTTGCAAATGCTCTTTTTGCCTTTACCCGCTGCTGCCTGTGCGTGTGTTGATTTTACAGGCGTAAGAAAAAGGAAAAAAAAGCTTTTTTTATTGGGTTGGATTAGGAAAATGGGTATCCGAGGAGGGGAAGGATCCGTGCGTGGTATGAGCCTGGAGCACCAGCCAACGCTTGTGTTGTTACGTGGCCTAAGCTGACGCTTCGGAGGGATGGCGAGCCCTTTCTCAAGCCGATGTTCCAATGCTGTGCAAAGAAAAAGGAGGGGCAGGACACTTTTGTTTTTTTTTTTTAATCCCCTCCGCCTTTACTGTGTGCTCCCATTTTTTGCCCTGTGAGGGGAGAAGGGGGCACCCGCAGGCCAAGCGGGTCAGGGGGAGCAGGAGCGGAGCGGGAGCCTCCTCCCTCCCCGGGCCAGGCAGAGGGGAAGAGAGAAGAGACCTGGGGGGGGGACGGGACGGGACGGACGGACACACGAGGAAGTGCTGGGCTGGGGACGCTGCGTTCAAAATCCCCGTCTGTGTACTTCTGTGTGTATATGTACACACATTTGTACATGCGCAAACAGCCGGCGGGGGTTCGGCGGGGGCTGTTGAGCTCATGCCCTTTGCATGTGCACACACAAACACCTACAAATACACACGCGCGCGCGCACACATCTCTATATATACAGTAGGCTGAACCAAACAGCTCTTTATAAGCCGCTCCTGGCAGGATCCCACCTGCTTTCTCCAGCAGCTTCTTTGTGACTGCTTCCCACAGTCGCCTCCTGGCCCGGCTGCGCTTGCAGGATCATAAGTCTTACTCCATGTTAAAATCAACAACTCCCCATTGCTTTCCAAAGGTTTTGCATTTCAGCTACATTTTTCATGAAGAAAATCCTCTTCCCCTGCTGATTAGGTTCCCTCAGCTGGAACTTCATTACGATGCCGAGACGAGTTGTTTTACAGCCTTCTCCTGTGGCTTTTAGACCCTGTTGATGGTCCCCAGGCATTGCACTGTTTTACTTTCCGAGTCCTTCTCCTCCCTCGGTTGTTTCCAGATTTCACCGTCACTTGAAAAATAACTTGGGGACCGAGATCTAATTAAGATTAGGGGGGCCAGGGAGAGCAGGACATCGAGCCACGCACCTTCTCTTGTCGCTTCC